CCACCTATCCTCTCCTCTATCCATCTTCTATCCGCCTCCCCCTCTCTCCCTATTTATTTCAGAATCCCCTTCCCCTCCCCCATTTCTGAAGAAGGGTCTAGGCCCGAAACGTGAGCTTTCCTGCTCCTCGGCCTGCTGTGTTCATCCAGCTCTACACCTTGTTATCTCAGTATTCCATAACACCCGTGATTTGTGCCGGGTAGGTAGCAGACAGGATTTGGGGAGTGAGGAGGTGACTTACTTGCCACAGAATTCCAAGCCTCTGGCCTACATTTATAGCCACAATTCTTGGTTTTCAGCTTTGTTTTTTGAACTGATGTACTAAATTCTCCCAACATTGGGGATGAGGATATTTGTGGAACCTTCACCTCTTGTTAGTAGTTTAATTGCCCACCAACATTCACTCGGTGTGGCAGCCCTCCAGACCTTAGATTTAGTCAGTTGGTTGTGGGATCACTTAGCCCTGGCTATTTTAGTTTCATCAAGGTTGACAGCTCATTTTTATGTATGCCTGGGACTGCTCCTGGCATGTTCTTCATTAGATTTCCTGGTAGAATTAATGGTAGAGTGGGGATATATCTGGCCATAACATTTTGGTTGAATACAATTCTTCTGGTACTGTTGATGGCTCCTACAATCTCCTGGGTGCTCAGTTTTGAGTTGCTAGATATGTTTGAAGCCTGACTCATTTCCCATGGTGGTAGTGCCAAGACTCTTTTCCAAGTAAATGAATTAAATTCCACCAACCACTTTGGTGTCACTTCAAACAACCTGGGCCTATGATTACGAATCCAGTGACATTATCATAATCCCATCATCTCCCTGCAGTTGTGTATTGAAGCCCTCTCCCACAATAAGAAATGTTTTCTCTGCATGTACATTATCAAATCTTCCATAATTCTAAGGTCCTCTATTAGGTCACTCCTTGGTCTTCTTTTTCCAGGAGAAAAGACATCCAACCTGTCAATCCTAGACAACAAGGTGCAGGGCTGGATGAACACAGCAGGCCAAGCAGCATCATAGGAGCAGTGATATCTTTGCCCACACATTTCTGGTATTAGTCTTTTAAAATTCTCTAGTTTTAAATGCTAACATACATATGAAAATATAGCTCTGTCATCTGTCCCTAGTTACTGCTGTCCTGTTCTATTAGCTTTGGCTCTTCATCAATTTGAAAAGAAAGAAATGTTTATCCTCTACAGCCTACTTGCTTTGAGCCAAGGTTAACGTGTGGTCAAAAGTCCCTCACTCCTTCTATTCTAGAAAGTAATTTAGTCTCAACATCCCATTCACAATAGCAAACCACATTTGCTCCCACACCTCTTTCAAAGTGGGAGGAGAATTTGGAATATTCACCTTGCCCCACTCTTAATGGCTGCTGCACCCCTCTTCAAACATTTCTGTTTCCATTTCCCTCAACCACCAACCTATCTCGAGGCCCCTTTTCCCTTCAAAGGTGCTTTGTTGACAAGGATTTCCAACCTGTGCTTTTCCATATTTGAATTGCCTCAGTCCAATTTTCAGCCTATTGCCCACTACTTCTTGTCTTTTGGGAAGGGTAAAAAGGAGGAGCTTAAGATTTTAAAAGTTAATTTGCTTCAATTTGGTTTTATTAGTGCAGAGCCAAGAAGTGACTCCTTGCTAATATAACATTTAATGAACAGCTGAGAACTATTAGGTAGACTTTAGACCTGTAACACAGCACACCTCTAGGGATCTTGTGGCATAGTGGTAGTGTTCCCTACCTTTAAGCTTAGGATAAATCCAAGTTCTAATCCAGCAGTATTTGTACAGCTCAATTAACAACATCTAGAAGCAAGCAAAGGTTGACCTAGAGAAGAAAGTGAGACAAAGCTGCAATCTAATGTTAGATTTCTGGTCCTGTGTCATTCTGTACAGTTAGAATTCTGTCTGCTGTCTCTTATTTTCCCATAATCAGCCCAGTTATTAGGAATTCACAGCAACCGAAAAATCTTAAGGATCAATAATGGCCAGGGATCCAGGAGAACTGATAACATACAAGTCTGCCACCTACTGTTGTGATGTATATCATGTATAATTGATGGAGTAGCATTTTTCACTTTACTGATTCTGGCTGACCTGTGTAGTTTCAGCATTTTCTAATCGAGTTTCATTCTTTACAGCATTGAGGATTTTATTAAGTGTCAGCTGTTGCTCAGCTGGGAGCACCTTTGAGTTGAAGTTGAAAGATTGTTGGCTCAATTTTCCACATCAGAAGATTTAAGCCCAATAATCTAAGATGATGCTGCAGTACAGTTCTGAGGGAATGCTGCATTATTGGTGGTGCTTTTTTTCAGATTAGATGTTAAACTGTATCCCTGAAATATGCCCAGTGATGGATATAAAAGATCAAGGAAGAGAGGGGTTCAACCCTGGTGTCTTAGCCCTCAGTAATATAATTGATTATCTGTTCAATATTATGTTGCTGTTTTAAAGAGTTGTTGTGTGTAAATTGGCTGCCATGCCCAATATTACCACAGCAACTAAAGATGAAAAAGTCTTTCAGTATGGGTCAATCTATTAATATAACCTCAGGTCATATCCCAAGGTGTTTATTCAAATATTAGTTATTAACCATATATGCATAATTATTGAGCTAAGCTCAGTGCTGTGCTCATTTCAATCCATTTCAGTCTAGAAGATGACAACTGAGGTTACAATACTAACTTAACATAGCTGAGTCTCCTCTCCACATTTATTAAACCTTACAGTTAATTAGTTGTAAAGCATTACTGGGATATCAGATGTCACCAATATTCTGTTTATGAAAGTCTTTCTTAATAATTTTATTTAGAGTGATCAATGCACAGATAAAATGACAGCAGCAAACACCTTGGAATTATTTCAGAACCCAGGAACACAAGTAGTCCATTCAAACCCTTGAACCTGTTCTAAAATTCAATCCCATTATGGCTGATCAGTATTTGAACTCCATCTACTTTGGTTCCCTAATCCGTAAAACTTCAGCAACGAAAAATGTACTTCAGGTCTGACGTTCAACATCAATAGCTTGGGGGGAGAGGGTTCCTGATTCCAAAATGCTTTGGATGAATAATCAGAAAGAATTCAAAAAACAATTTAAAAAGTTAATGCCATGTGTGTCTGGTTGAATGAATTATGATGGGCTGAGTGCACTTTCCCATCAGTGATCAGCTGAGATCTTTTAGAATTGCTTCGAATTTGGCGTTTCCAGAATTTATAAGTTTCTTTTTGTATCTCTGCGAAACAAATAATTCAAGTTAACATATCCGTTAAAGTGAAGTAATGATTCATTCATTATAATGCAATTGCTTGCAACAAATGCTTCCACTCCTTAAGGAAAAACGGTGAATGAGATATACAGCTCATGTTCTTTGCTTCAAAATACCAGTGAGATTGACACATTACACCTGTCCTTTTCCTTCCTCCCTCCTCACCATCCAAGGCCCCAAGCACACCACCTCGACTACATTAATTTCTAAGTTTCTACCTGGTATAAGATTTTTAATATTTATTTTCCAAAATTAGAGAAACTACAAATTTCTGATAGCCAATTCCACTTCCTGCAAAACTTTATTAAATTTGGACAACAATTGGCTTCACAACAACATCTCGGTCACAAATAAGTCCCATTATTAATGTGAGTGAAAAACATTACTGAGTTTCACAGATTTTAATTTTTAAGGCAGATTTGGATAACCACTAATCAACCTGTTCAGAGGTGTTAGTATACACCTTTGGAGGAGGTGGGACTTGAACCCAAGTCTCTTGAATAAGAGCATCTGTGAAGAAAACTCAGAGTTAAAGTGTCAGGCTCGGTGACCCTTCCTCAGAACTCAAGTGCTGAGGAAGGGGCACCGGACCCAGAGAGTTAACTCTGATTTTCTCTTCACAGATGCTGCCAGAACTGCTGACCTTTTCCAGCAATTTCTGTTTTTGTTCCTGATTTACAGCATCCACAGTTCTTTTGGTTTAAACTCTTGAATGAGAAGTTGGGACACTACCCTGCACAAGGAGCCTTCACTTCCAACTCTCATTGGCCAGAATAAACCAAAGAACAGTGGATGCTGCAGATTTGAAATAAAAACAGAAATTGCTGGAGAAACTCAGCAGGTCTGGCAACATCTGTGGAAAGAGAAACAGTTAACGTTTCAAGTCTGATGACTCTTCATCAGAATTGTTAGCAGCAGGGAAAAAGTGGTATTTGTGCTGAAGGCAAAGCTTTGAACTGAAAAAAATTATCTATTTTCCTTCCAATTTCCGCCTTGCTCTTATCTTCACCAGGTCTAACTGACTCCTCCTGTTCCTTCCTCGATATCTGTTCCCATTTCAGGGGATAGACTGAACACTGATACGCACTACAAACCCACTGACTCCTAGAGTTACCTCGACTATACATCCTCACACCCTTCTTCCTGCAAGGACTCCATCGGATGTTGTAAATCAGAAACAAAAACAGAAATATTTGAAAAAGCTGGCAGCATCAGAACTGTCCTGAGGAAGGGTCACTGGACCCGAAGTGTTAACTCTGATTTCTCTGCACAGATGCTGCAGACCTGCTCAGCTTTTCCAGCAACTTCTGTTTCTGTTATCACATGGGTTGCCTTTACTATAGTCACCTATTCCCACATACTCCCAGACCCATTACAATGGGCTGCATTTCAGTACAGCTCACCCGTTTTCTCCCGCTCTAATTATCACTTATTCAGCTTTTCTTCTGTCCTGGCCTGCTATCTACAATCTCCCTGCTTATATCTCCCTTTCATTTTTAAAAATGTTAATGTCTTTTTTCTCCCTGCACCTTTCATCTCTTTTCTAAGTTCCCCACCCCCAAGTTCGTCTTCAACACAAATACCACCTTTTGCTCGCTCTTAAAATTTCTCATTTCTCTTTGTGTTTCAATGGCCACAAGCTGGAGCCCAGCCCGGATCACGTGACGACAGCGGCAACACCGCAAGCACCGCCCCCTCACCCCGGGCCGATCACGTGCCCTCCGGCTGAGTCCTCCTGCATCCCAGCGTGCATTTCGCCGGCAATGGCCGCCACCATGGAGGAGGAAGAGCTGGAGTTTGTGGATGAGTTGGAGGGTGTGTTACACCTGTCTCCGGAGGTGCAGCAGGCGATCGAGCAGGTACAGGGCGGCCCTTCGAATGCGACGGGAGTGAGCTGAGGCTTTTACTAACCTTGGCGAGGAGCTGCGTGGGGTGACAGTCCAGTCAAAAAAGGGTGGGGTGGTATTTATTGTGTTTGTTGACAGCTGTCTGTCAGGGTCCTGCAGAGTCCCTGGCCACTTTCTTTGAGTCTCAAAAGCTCTTAATCATTTCTCCAAGCCGGTAGACTGCTTTAATTTTGCATTTTGCCCAGATCTGTTGAGCTGAGACACACACAGCTGCCAGAGGAGATGAGTTGGAGAGACACAAACTGTGAACCCGTTGATTTTTAAGAAGACTGCTATTTGATTTAGCCGTCATGTGTATAACTGTGAAGTCTGCGGGAATCAAGTGAACGCTGGATAGAACAGTTATCATTTGACGAAATAAAAACCGAAAGAACTGCGGATGCTATAAATCAGAAACAAAAACAGAAATTGCTGGAAAAGCTCAACAGGTCTGGCAGCATCTGTGGAGAGAAATCAGAGTTCATGTTTCGGGTTGAGTGACCCTTCTTCAAAACTGCTGCAGACCTTTTTCAAATCATGGAAGACGTGGAAACAGACCCTTCAGTCCAACTTGTCCATGCTGACCAGATATCCTGGATAAATCTAGCCCCATTTGCCAGCATTTGGCCCATAAAGGATCACCCTTCTAAGACACAGAAGATAATTGTTTTTTCTGACAGTTGTGCATCTTTGGAACTCCACCTCAGAAAGTGGAGGAGGTGGAGTCGACTTCTTAAAATAATTTAAGAAGGCAGAGGCAGATAGATTATTGTTAGGCAAGCAGATCAAAATTTTTGGAAGTAAATAGGAAAGGCAAAATCAAAATATGAAAAGATCAGCCCTGACTTGAGGGGTCAAATGGTTTACTTCTGCTCATATTAAACTAAGAATCTTTGAACCTGCAATCCAGCACCAGTCACAAATCCTATTCATATACCCATCCAGATGCATTTTAAATGTCGTAATTGGACCAGCTTCCACCACTTCCACTGGCACCTCAGTCTATATGTGCACTCTGTGTGGAAAAAGTTGCCCCTGAGGTCTATGCTTTCTAGTTTTGGACTCCACCACCTGCTGAGCTTTTACAGCAACTTCTATTTTTGTTGATTATTTGATGAACCTGGATAAGATGGATTAAGGGAGTCAAGCACAGTAGAGTTCGGTGGGTGATTTGTGTATTTGCACGATATATTGGGACACCTTAAAGCTTAAAATTGTAATTCCTGTCTGCAGAACAGATTCAGAATGAAGTGGGAAAAATTGGTAATTGTGATGCAGCAGCCTATTTCCCAAATTTGTGACTGGTGCTGGATTGCAGGTTCAAAGATTCTTAGTTTAATCTGAGCAGAAGTAAACCATTCGACCCCTCAAGTCAGGGCTGATCTTTTCATATTTTGATTTTGCCTTTCCTATTTACTTCCAAAAATTTTGATCTGCTTGCCTAACAATAATCTACCTGCCTCTGCCTTCTTAAGTTATTTTAAGAAGTCGACTCCACCTCCTCCACTTTCTGAGGTGGAGTTCCAAAGATGCACAACTGTCAGAAAAAACAATTATCTTCTGTGTCTTAGAAGGGTGATCCTTAACTTTAAAGCAGTATCCCCTATTTCTGGACTGATCTACATGTGAAGTATCCCCTCGAAGTCCATCTTGTCAAGACAGTTCAGGGTTTTATAACTTTAATCAACTCACACCTCACTCTAAGCCCCCAGTGGAAACAAGCCTAGCCTGTCTGACCTATCCTTATAAGACAATCCCCTTATTCATGATATCAATCTAGTAAACCACCTCAGACTGCATTTACATATTTCCTTAAATAAGAAGGCCAAAACTGTGCACAGTATTTGAGCTGTGAATATCATGTTAAAATGGTACGAACTTGGAATTTTGGCAGGATATTTGCTGACGAAGGATTGCACAGCTGAGCATGACCTTTGCCCATGTGTAGATTTCCTGGCTGATATTTTTTTCTTCTCCTCCTTAAATCAGGGATGTGAATGATATTTTATGCCCTTGTTGATTTGATTTATTATTATCATGTACCAAGATACAGGGAAAAGTATTATTTTGCATGCCAACCAGACAAATCATACCTTACATTAAAAAAAATCAGGGTAATAGCACAGAATGCAGAATATAGTATTACAGATACAAGGAACGTACAGAGGAAGATCAACTCTGACATACCTGAGATCAGAAATCTCATTACAAACTTGGAATCAAACCTACTGTTATTTGGTTGAATTACTGAGTTTTGCATTTAACAATAGTTTCATCCACCAAGCTGGAAGTAAGGTTGGAACAATTTTGAAATTGTGCTCACATAGTGAGGAACGTAATTGTGGGTGTTAGGGGTCAATCATCTCAAACCCCAGTAGATTACAGCTTGCTAGGGTAGTGTCCAACCATCTGCTTTGTGACTGATCCTCTCTTCATCATTGGATCAGAAATGGGGATGTTCGTTGAACATTGTTCAATGTTCAGCACCACTCATGTCTCCTTGGATATGAAATCAGCTTTGTGCCTGAATTCAGCAAGACCTGAACAACTTTCAGGTTTCGGCTAAGAAGTGACATTAACATTTATGCAATCCAAACTTCAGGTGAGGATCATTGCCAACAAGAGAATCAAGCCACCTCCCTTTTGAGAGTCAATCGCATTATCTTTGCTGAATCCCCCACGATTAACATTCTGGGGGTTACCATTGAGTAGAAACTGAACAGGATCAGCCATATAATACTGTGCATAGAAGAGCAGATCAGAGGCTGGGTATTCTGCAATAAGTAACTCAACTCCTAACTCCCCAGAATCTTTCCTGTACAGGGCAGGACTGTGATGAAACATTCTTCACTTACCTGGATGAGTGCAGTTCCAGTATCACTTGAGGTGTTTGATATCAGCAGGGACAAATGAGTCTGCTTGATAGGCATCAAGCACTTCAAACATTTATTTTCTCTGCAGCAGCTCACTAAACATTTTCTAACATTGTCTTTCAATCCTATGACACCTACTGCCTAGATGAACAAGGACAGCAGGTACAAAAGAACACCAAAACTTACAATATCTCCTTTGGGTCTCATATTTTCCTAACTGGGAAATATAACACTGCTCTTCACTATTAATGGGTCAAAACCCTGAAAACATCTAACAGCACAGTGGGTACATTTACACTACAAAGACTGCACCAGCTCAAGAAGGTGGCTCCTCGCCATCTTCTCAGTCAATTTGAGGAGAGAATGCTGGCTGTGTCAGCAACAGTCTCATCTTATAAATATATATTTTTAAGAATAATAAAGCACATCTTCATTAGTTATTTTCTTTGCACCAATTTCCCAATATGATGAAAGATTATTGTAATTAATTTTACTCCAACATTTACCAAATTCCTGTGCAAGTTAAATTCCATTCCTGTTCCTGCCAAAGTGTCTACATAAATCAATTCCACAATCGGTAGATGAGGAGTCACTGAACTCAAAACATTAACTCTATTTTCTCATCAGAGATGCTGCCAGACCGGCTGATTTTTCTCTAGCAATTTCTGTTTTTGTTTGTTTCTGATCTCCAGCATCTGCAGTTCGTTGTTTTTATATTAATTGGATGATACTGGCTATAAATCACCCTAAAGTTCATCCAAAGGTTACCATTTTCTCATTTCTCCCAATTACAGATTAATAATTTGTTCGCAGAATTACTTGTAAATAATGGCAAGTTGTGTGTGAAAACTGGGAATCTAAGGAGCTGGATACAATTACAAGGAATATCAGATGAATAGAATTGTCTAATGTTGATACATTTAAAAGATTGCATGTTGGTTCAGAACCATACTGAAGTGATTTTGCCTTTATTGGTTAAATACAATGGATAGGAGAAAGATTCAGCTGTTCTGTTTGACAAAGTGTTGATAGTGTCCTAATATTAGAGAATGACTCCAGTTGAATAAAGTTTTGAGGTGAGGTAAATAGATCAGCAAGAAAGGATAGCCTTGTCTGAGATCACATTAGGATCATTGTACCGAACTTACTGGGAAAGATTCTGAACAAGTCATCAAGGTTAACATAACAGGAAATTACTGTGAATGCTGGAAATCTGAAAAAAATGCAGAATGCTAGAGACACTAAGCAGGTCTGCCAGTATCTGTGGAGAGAGAAAAAGTTGTTTTGTGTTCATTATGACTCTGAAGAAGAGTCATACTGGACTCGAACATAACAGTTGTTCTGAATCTTGCATCATGGAGCTATGTTGAGATAACAAAGGACTTATGGCCCTTTATCCTTATAGTCAAACTCATTTGCCAGAGCTGAGGAGTAGAATGAGACTTTAAAATCAAGAAATTGAAATATAGAGAAACAGTGAGGAACAATGTCTTTTTAAGCAAAATAATTTTGTGGGATTGGAAAACTTTGTTTTCTTTTACCTTTGGAGATCTGGGATCATCTTAAAACAATTTGCGAACTGCTTTCTGGATAAAGGCACCTTTTCAAGAATAAAGGTTATCCCTGCACTGTGTCTATGGATAATTTACTCAGAAAGAAGCCACAGATATGTTGGAATTGGTGACCTTCAGTTGGAGTTAGAGCTGTTGTTCTTAAAATGGGTTAAACATGCATTTAGAGGATACTTCGCCTCCTGTAGGAGTTGCTACCTTCAGGAAAGGAATTTAGAAATGGCAAAATAAAAACGAGCTAGTGTATAAACCATGAATCACAAGAGATTTAAATGATTTTCCTCCGCTTCATGTATCAAAAAATTGCTAGAATTAATTTAGAGCTACATAAATTCTTTCCTCAAGATTGTGCAGAATCAGATATAGATGCCTTAATGTCACTAAGAATAGTAATTTTGAATGAAACATTTGACATGTCATCTTCACTGAATCTCACAGGTGTTTCCCAGCCAGGATCCCTTGGACAGGGCTGATTTCAATGCTGTGGAATACATCAACACGCTCTTCCCCACAGAACAGGTAGGAAAGCTGAGGGGACAGTTGGATTTTTTTCTTTAATGATGCGTGATTTCTCCAAGTGTTCTGCCAAATATCGACAATGTTCTTCTGGATATCTGAACTGTCCATTACAATCATCAGAAGCTACCTAATGAGCAGACCATTATCTGGCAGGCATCTGTTTTTAAAAAGTTTATTCTTAGGAAGACATTCATTTGCTGTGTACCATAGGGACATTTGTTCTATGTTGAGAGTTCCTTAATGAGGCTCCTGGATAGTACAAAATTAGGCATTGCTATCTACAAAATGGCTGCTGAGTTTGTCTATGTGACAGTGACACATGAAGTGCTTTAGAACAGTCTTGAGAGGAGAGGTATAATTAGCTACGGCAAGTCTGCAGCTCAGAAACAGGCCCTTTGGTTTGAAGTATTAGTGTTATGTGAAGGCCATTTGTACTGAGCTTTCAATTACAGACAACTTTGGGCTAGGTGTCACTGATGAGAAAAGATGCTGGTATGATGCTGTACGGTGCTTATATCAGCTGCTTGTCTATTTGAGACCAGATATGTTGGGTGTATAAGAAACTGTAAATAAGGAAATTAATATCAAACCTTTTTTCACAGGTAAAAAAGCTGATTTAAAGAGAAGCAAAATCCTGACAGGGTTCTCACTCAAAACACACTTCTGCTTTGTGCATGTCTAAAAAATATAGTTAATAAGATAATCTTTCATCTTTTAGTGTATCATTATCAGTTGATACTGGTTTCTTGCTTCGATAACAATTTTTATAGGGAGTTGATGCAATATTGGGTGTCATCAGGTTATATTCAGCTGATGGCATACTTTTCTGGAAATGATTGGCTCTGGTTGAATTAGGCATGTGCAGTCAGTGTTCATTGCATTCAGCAGAGCCCCTTTGGGATTCCTTCTTATTAGCTATGTTTGGAGTTGACAAACGTCAAGGGAGCCCAAGACCAAGAGACTTCTATTGCAACTGAAGCCTCAAGAAAAATTATTTCCATGCATTAATTGGAAAAGTATTGATCTTTATTGAGGGGCTAGGTCTGGAGCAATATCAGTGGGAGGGTAAACTTGGATACTGTTCTTCAACTCTGTTTACCTTTGAGCTAAGGGAAATGTGTAGGGAAACTCATCTAGAAAGAGACAAGTGAAAAAAATAAATTGGTCTAACACAAAATTCCATTTTCTTTTTGGAATATTTTAGGGTCAGTTTAAAGTTGCTAATCTGAAGGAGTTAATCAAACCCTTCAAAAATATCCTAGATAGGATTTTTTGAATCTTTAGTAATTGCTGAGGCAAAATCAAGCTCGGATATCTTATTCACTTTGAAATTGATAGATGGACAATGTGCTAGTATTTTGCAGCAATTTCCCTGTGCTTCGCTAAGCGTGGTGTTAGTGTGAACACTTTTCTTTCATTTAAGGGAAGGAATGAAAATACTGCTGATTTACTGACTGTCCTGATGGAAGAGGTTTATTCTGGGTGGGAAGAACTGCATCCAATGGCATAAAGGTTATGTCGCTAGATTAGTAATCCAGAGCTTGAATGTCATTCTGACGGGGAATTTAAGCTCAGTTAAGTCTGGATTAGAAGCTAATACCTACAGGTGCCCAGGAAATGACCAGATTGTTGTAAAATCTCAACTGGTTCTCTAATCTGCTTTTGGGAAGGGAGATCTACCATCCTTACATGGTCTGGCCTTTCAGGCTCATGGCCGTATGATTGACTCTTAGTTCTCTAAAATAGGCTGTTGAGCCATGCTGTTAGTTCAAGATCACTGATTTGATGTACTGCAGTATTCAAGATACCTTGTTTTAGTGATGGACAAATTCGTTCTGGCCTGGTCAATCACACCCATATCCTGTGAATGAATAAAAAAAGGTCACGTTTAATCTAACACTAATGTGAAATGAATCTCACTCATTGTTACTTTAGGTGGCCGAGTTTGACATGGGCTTCAGATTTAGGCTGTGTTTGCATTAGTACTGCATTGTGATGAGACAGAGCCATTTTGTATTGATGCTATAATGTGTCTGCCTTTTGGTTACTTCGAAAGCAGACAATTCAATAGGTATACAATCTGATCAACTCTTTTGTCTTACTGTAGTTCTAAGACTAGTACTGTAAGGAGAGACTGTTCAAAGTGTAGATTTTTGTTCTTGGGGAAGTGATAACTTTGTCAAAAATCGGAAAAGGTAAATCACGCATTCTCCTCCATTGTGATCCAGTTGTGTGGTACTGCACTTTCCCTGCTCTGTTCTTATCTATCTACTGTAGCCAGTCTACCATTTCCTGCAATGGCTTCACATTCTGCTCTCGCACTGTTATGGTCGGTGACACCCAGGGATCTATCCCTGGCCGCTTCTTATTTCCCATCTCTGTGCTGCTCCTCAGTGAAATTGTCCAAGGTACCACCTTCTCATGAGTATGATGTTGACGTTTAGCTGTAGCTCTTCATTGCTGCTGTGGATTTCTCCGCCTGTGCTAAATGATCAAACTGGTTACTATATCTGACACCCAGAAGTGAGTGGGCAAACACTTCCAAATATTGGGAAGAATAAATGATCAATTTCTGTTCCCTAGCCACAATGATCATCGCTATTCCAGCCAACTGAGACTAAGCCTGCCTGTTTGCAACTTTGATTTCATATTTGATTTTGAGATGTGCTTTTGATGGCTGTTATTAAGATCATCTTTTTCCACCTCCGATCTGTGGCTCAACTCTGTCAATGTCTCAGCTCATCTGCTGTTAAAGCCCTCCCTCACGCCTTTGCCACTTCTGGATTTGACTGCTCTAATATTTGCCTGGAAGGCCTTGCGTATTCTACTCTGCATAAGAAACAAGAAGAATAACTCTTAATTACCTGCTGCATCGACTGCAAGATTTGGAATTCCTTCCCTTAAACCCCTCTGTCCTTTCCCTTGGTTTCCTTAAAGCCTCTTTTGGCCATCTGTCATGGTAGGACCTTATGTGACTAGCTGTCAATATTTAATTATAAATGCTCCTGTGTAGAATCTTAGGACGTTTTATGATGTTAAAGATGTTGTATAAATACATGGTTGTTGTTGATCTTTTCTGTGTTGGGAAGTGTGGTTAAATTAATTTAATTGCATTGAGAGTTCTCAATTGGCAAATTTTCTGTGAATGGGCCAACATATATTAACTATCTTGCATTTAGTTAAGAAAAGAAACTAAGACTGAAAGAATTGATATTTGCTTGAAGAATTAACTGTGCATTTGTTGTACTCCACTAGGAGTCACTGTTTTACTGAATTTAAAGCTGTTGTTTATTTAGAAACTGATTGTTCTCTCATTCTTGCTTTTCTTTCTCCCTGAAGTCTTTGGCCAACATTGATGAAGTTGTAAACAAGATTAGACTAAAAATCAGGTGAGTGAAATAAACTGTTGTCTCTTTACTGGAAGTAAGGATTTCAGAGTGTATCTGTTAACAGTGCCTCATTAAATGTACATCTTTGAAGATTATCCTTCTGGTCATTTCTATTCTTGAGGTGTTTGACAATAACAGCAGTTTTGGTTTACTTGATGATTTTGTGCAGCAGAGTTCCCCTGCTCCAACCTGCACCCTCTGCATCCATACCCCTCACTTCGCATTCACCCTCTCACTCCGTCATTGGTGGCTGTGGCATTATCTGCTTTGCTGCTAAACTCTGGAATATTACCCAAAGCTCCTCTGCCTCACCAGCTCCCCCTCTTCCTTAAAACCCGTCCCTCTGCGAAGCTTTTGATTGCCCCCTCAGGGAGTCGTCTTTGCTATCCATTTTCTTAATGTCACCTCCACGAAGTACCTTAAGGTGTTTTCTACATTAAAAGTGTAATATGTGCAAGTTGTTAGGTACCTAGCTGCTTATGTATGCATAGTATTACCTTCATAATGTGCAAGCTACGTGGAAGCAATCTGAACAGGGGAATGGGATATATTAGCTATTTTCTTTCAAAAAAAGTTATTTTTTTCAAAGAGCTGAGACAGCTCTTGTTGAGTGTGTTCACACGATGGTAGAGTTAATCATACTTTCCAACTTGTTATTGTTTGATATGAGTATGTTTTTCTCTGTGTCTAATTTCTGGTCATTTATAAATGAGGTGAAGAGTTGGGCCACGGAACTCATCCTTGCTGTCATCATTTTGCAGCTTCCTACCAGTGCAATCATTCCTATTACTGAACTTTCACTATCGTGGTACCTTAAGGACTGTATCAATTCGTAACCATTAATTTAGCACAGTTTTCTGATCATAAAGAACTGCTCTATTATTTCCAATTCTTCCTTCACTTTTAAAATTATCTTTCTTGTTTTCAAATCCCCCCAGCTCTGTACTCTCCTGCTGAAATCTCAGGTGTGCTCCCGCAATTCAAGCTTTTTGAACATTCCCGATTGTATTTGTTGCGTATTTGGTTGCCATACCTTCAGCTGCAGAAGTCCAAATCTCTGGAACTCCTTCCCACTCACTGCCTTTTGTTCCTCCTTTAAGACAGCCCTTAGTTACTTGAACAAGCTTTTGGTCATCTGCCCTAACATCACATTGTGGCTCAGCGTTAAATTTTGTTTGATAACATTCCTACGAAGCACCTTGATGTTCTGCTATGTTGAAGGCACTGTATAGATGTGTGTTGTTATTATATGTGAGACTTTTAATATATAATGTGTCAGTCTTCTATGGCAATGCGCACAGGATATCAAAATGAAACACGGCATTCAAGTGTCATTATTGCTGAGAGGGTGTAATTACAATGTGACAAGTTTCAATTGGCAATTACTTCATGGAAACAAAAAAATTTGTAATGGAGACAGTTACTAGAGAATAGCACCAAAATGTAAATTATATTTTGTATCCAAAGTTGTGTTCAGAGTGGCACAGTGGTTAGCACTGCTGCCTCGCAGCGCCAGGGACCTGGGTTCGATTCCAGCCTCGGGCCACTGTCTGTGTGGAGTTTGCACATTCTCCCCGTGTCTCTGTGGGTTTCCTCGCGGTGCTGCGGTTTCCTCCCACAGTCCAAAGACGTGCAGGTTAGGTGGATTGGCCATGCTAAATTGCCCGTAGTGTTCAGGGAGGTGTAGATTAGGTGGATTATAGCGGGATGGGTCTGGGTGGGATGCTGTGAGGTTCAGTGTGGACTTGTTGGGCCGAAGGGCCTGTTTCCACACTGTAGGGATTCTATGATTCTATTCTATGTAAAAACCGAAAGAACTGCGGATGTTGTAAATCAGGAACAAAAGCAGAAGTTGCCGGAAGCTCAGCAGGTCTGGCAGCATCTGTGAAGAAAAAATCAGAGTTAACGTTTCGGGTCTGGAAGAGTCACCAGACCCGAAATGTTAACTCTAATTTTTTCTTCACCGATGCTGCCAGATCTGCTGAGCTTCCAGCAACTTCTGTTTTTGTTTGTGTAGATGTAGGCATTTTTACAGACTGTATTTACTTTGCATGCAGTGTTTGTAAATAGCACGCACATGAGATTTATTGGTATGACTGCACAAACACTAGGAGCAATGTGTTAAAGCATTCAAGCATCTTGCTGCTGGTTACCTGACTGAGTGAAAGTTATAAGGTGTCTTTCCTACATAAAGTCTGTGAAACATTAATTCCTTGAGTTCTATACCAGCGTCCATTTTGCTGATCTGTCTTTATTATTTCCGTTAATTGAGATTGAGGGCATTAATTTATGAGTAAATTCAAATGTAAATGGGCATTTATTAAAATTATTCATTCACGGACATGGATGTTGCTGGCCAGACCAGTATTTATTACCTGTCCCTAACTGCCCAGAAGGAAGTTCGGAGTCAACCACATTGCTATGGGTCTCAAGTCATATGTACACTTTGTTTCTCTAAAAGACATTAAATGAACCAGATGGGTTTTTCTGATGATTGGCAATAGTTTCATGGTCATCATTATGCCCTTAATCCCAGAATTTTATTGACCTCAAATTCCACCATCTGCCATTGTGGGATTTGAACCTGGGTCCCCAGGACATTACGTGGGTTTCTGGATAATACCACTAGACTGTTTTCTCCCCTTAAATTAGTTAGTGTTTGAATGAAGTATTGTGGCATAGCTGAGTAATGTGCGTCACTTTCACAGTAACTAAATTAGCAATCGCTGTTTGTTTGTAGAAGTGTTTCCTAATTTCATTCTATTACTTATACTATACTGCTGGGAGTCCTAGACTCCCCAACCAGCAGAAATAAAGTACGTAGGGACCCATTGGTTCCCCTTAATCTCTTGAAAGTTTTGAGCAAATCTTATCCTTAACCTTCCATTTATTCCTTATAGTCCTGATGTCATTCTGCAATATCTATATTAGATTTCCAAAACCGTTACATTCTTCTGAAGACTTGGTGCCCAGAACTGCTCATAGTATTCCAGGATTGATCTAACTAGAGCTTTGCATAGCTGTGACATAATTTTTAATCTCCTGTAATCTAGTCATTAAGATAAGAGGCCAACATTCCATTCACTGTTTTAATCATTTCCTACAGCTATCAATGACATTTTAATGTTTTGTATACCTGGACCCACAAATTTCTTTGGATCTCGACTGGTTGTGGCTTTTCACCATTTAAAAAGCACTCTACTTAATCCTATCAGGCATTTGTTTTTGCTTATATTAAAATGTATTTGTCCCTGTTTCGAGCATTCACTTGATCTATAAATATTTCTTTGTAACTCCTATGTCTGTATTCACATTGTGCTCAATGCCACCTATCTTTCTGTGCTCGAATTTGTGGTTGAAGATCAGCTGAAGATTTATAAACTCTTCACGTTTGCTATCTGAAAACTAATTCCGAATTATTTTTCAGCAATGAGTACCAGGCTAACTGGTGTATAGTTCTTGACTTTTCCCATGTTGCCTTTGTTGAATAATGGAGTGGGATATGTGATTTTTCTAGTTGACCGGACCAATGCCTGAATTTAGGGAATTTTGCAAGTTTATAGTTAGAACACTCCCAATGTTTTCACTTATGTCCTTTAAAACTCTGCAGTGGAAACCCTGTAGTTCTGGGAATTTGCTACTCTTTAATACCATTATCATTCTAATTACTGTTATTTTACATATTCAAAGTAAAGCCAAACTACAATTATTATGACCCCTCCATAGACAAATTTCTGAACAATTTAAGTGTGCATGATAGATGTTTGCAAGTTTCTAGATTCCAGTACTTAGCATTTTCCCAAATCATTTTAACTGTTTCAGTCTCCCTTTACATTTGTTCAATGTGTTTATTAGTCTCTTTTCGAACATTATTTATTAATAATTTATTGTTGTTTATTAGCCTCTTAGTTCCACAATTTCATGAGATCTTAGCTGATAAATTCAACAAGGAATTTGTGGAAATATTGTTGCAATTTTTCACATGAATTGTGTCGTGTCATGGATTATAACAGTGGGATCACCCATGGTGGGCATATTGAACTTCAATTTCAATGTGTTTTTTAAAAGAGGACTGATGTGGCCAAGTGACTGTGGCCTCATGAGCATCTCTGATATTAATTGTTCCACTTTGGGCCACACCCTCATTCCTGAGCTTAATGCTTAGACAACTGCCTTCCCTGTGTCTCTCCGTCTTTCCACCTCACTTTCCCCCTGTAAGACAATCATTAAAACCAGCCTGTTTGACATAGATTTTGGTTTTGTGACTTAATTTCTTTCGATGGTTTGGTGTCATACTGTTTTGTTTTAAATAATGCTCCTGTGAAATGCCTTGGGACTCGTGCACCCAGGTCAAAGTCACTTTTTATACGGAACTGTGATGGTTCATGTACATGGAAGCAAATGTATTGCAGTATAAAAAAGACCTGTGTCCGAAATGTATCTAAGGTTGGTTGGCTCGCCAAGCTGGTTCTTTGTTGTTCCGCAGATGTTTCGTTACCCTGCTGGGTAACATCATCAGTGCAGCCTCTGATGAAGTTACCCAGCAGGGTAATGAAACATCTGCGGAACAACGACAAACCACCTCGGCGAGCCAACCAACCTCAACATCCACAATCCAAGTTACAATCTACTCCAAAACCTTAAAAAATTTGTCTAAATTCTGACACAGACTGTTTGGGTGACAGGCAGGAAGTATGCACTAAAGGCTGGACCTTGTGCTTTTTATTGTATAATGTTTTTGACATTAGAAAAACATACGAAATATAACTTTGTAGTTGCATCCCTTTCAATTGCAAACTTCACATATACTTAGTACTGGAAAATTCAAATGAATCATCTCCTTCCCCAGTAAGTGATAGAGGTGGGTGCGACTTAGTTCCCTGTTGTCTTGAAATTTCAATAAAAGTGCATTGTAAGGCCTGTCTTCCATGACTGCCACCCACCAAGACCCACAACCACTGTAACCGAAAACAGATAATTTCCTTATAGGCCAAGCTCTG